TCTTAATATGTACTTTCTGCCAACTTACCCCAATGAAAAGAATTCTAAATATTAAAAAAACTTTTTGGCTACTATGAAATATGACTCTGGGAGTTTTCAGTGGCTACCAGTAGCTTTAAAGAAAATAGCAACCTATTTTTGAAAATGTGATATGTTATCAGAAGAAATCATGGCTTTTTTGGTGTTTTCTCTCAAAAGTCACTTTCAATCACGTCATGTCTCCCATATCAAGGGATCTAACAAGTTTTCTACTTTTTTCCCCTGGTCCTGTTTCCACAGGGAGACATTTCTCAGTGGATCTCTTGGCAGCTGTCCCTCCCCCAGAAAGATCCTGAATTGATTTCTCGGCGGGAAGCCCCTCTTATTCATGACCTCTTTGGTTAACCCATTGGCAAAGAGAAAAGAACAGAAAAAAAAAATAAGGAACAGAACAAAAATGGGAATAACTAGAAAGGAAGTGTCTGAATCCTTCCTGCTGTTCCAAGCTGTGTGTCCGTATACATGTTCATGCAGGTGACAAAAATGTCAGCAACATCAGAGCTCTTGAATTGTGGTTGTAGTCTTTTAGAATGTTAAAGGTGTACCTGTACATGGATGTGTACATGTAAGTACTGGAAATTACAGACCACTGCAGTTACCCAGGAATGTTTCAAGCCGCAATAAAAAGTTCATCTGAACGTTAAGGCAACTTTGTGCCATATATACAATGCATGCATTTCCAGCAGCAATCTACAAAAAAATTTGTTCAGACAGAACTGTCATTCTGATGTCTGATTTTCAGGTGTTGCAAGGGCATGTCGCAAAAGTGCCATGCAGAAAAAAATCAAGGCGGCTGAAAAAATGGCCAGTTCACATGTACGTGTACCTCCTCCCACGCATGTATTAATTCAGCACCAGATTATCGCTGTCACGGTCTGTGATTAACCTCAGAAAACTTCCCAAATCCCAGGAGTTGTTTACACTGTTTCCACCCTGGTATTCTGTTTTTAAAAGGTCCATGTTAATTCTTCCCTCCCCCCTTGCAACTTTAAAGTGCACAGTTCAGTGGCCCATTTACGGCCTGTTACCAGCCAGAATGTTCAGCTTTGTTTGCATTCCTCGGTGTCATGAATGCATACCCCCCTCCTGTTCATCTGATTGTCTTTGAGGGAGCCCGGTGCATTGTGCTCAGGCCTGAAATGCAAAATGCATTTGGGTCAGGAGGTCGCCGTGTTGCTGTCGAGCTTGACCCTGGAGATGACGGTGCGTGGGAATTTTTTTCCAGGTTTTTTAATTTCGGCAGACACCATGAACAAGTGTGGATTCATTGCACAATTTACTGCATGCCTTAAGTGGTTGTGGTTGGATTGGTTCAGGCATGTTTTAAGCAGTAACGATTATATTGCTTCCAGCTACTGGTATGTACGTGCAAGTTACTTTCATGTACATGTATGTACTTGACTAGTACAGTGTGCCTGTTATGTAAACACAGCCGAAATAGAATTGGATTGTTAGTGGTGGAAATGGAGAGTGATGGGCAATGTGTAATAGGCACTATTCTCTCTCAGTGGGTACATGTACTGAAGTGTGACTGTCACATGAACACAATAACTGTGTGGTTGTGGGAACACACAGTGCAACAGGTGTCTGTACCTGCACATGGATGGATTCATCCAGCACTCCTAAATTACTGTTTATTCTTTGGATAATTGCTCCAGTAAACTGGTTCATTATGGAATTGGGAAGTTCAAACATGGATGTTGTAAAGTCAGGAGTGCTGGTAAGTATTCAGGTTCATTAGTCACTCAGCAGTTGAGGTACATGTATGACAGTTGAGATGTGGTCTACATTCTTTTAGGTGTGTAGAGTGCATTGTGTATGATAGGCTTGATAGCCAGGTGTGGGAAAATTGGCGCCTGTAATATAATATGGACAGTCGCAGTTATGGTTAAATGAGCATGAACATTTTATATTGTAGATTGTGATCTTTTGTATAATATTTGTATAGGAATTGTCCCTTCATTGTCTGATGAAAAGCTTTCTGAACAGCTTATATGATCATCACCATTTGACCAGTATCACACCCTGACTTTAAATTATTTTTGGCAATTAAGTTTCTTGTAAAATGCTACAAATTCATTGAAAGGTTTCCATGATGGGAATTTTACTTGTGGAACATGTTTTGTGCAACTTATATGTACGTGTACAGTACTACCCCTTAAAATGGAAAGAAATTCTCACGCTGAAAAATGTCTTTGCAGCTTATATGCCGGGCGGCTTATTCGGTAACTTTGTAGAATGAAATCAGTCACAAAAGTCATGGCCGAGCCACGCGTACCATGTACAGGTGGCGCAGTCATGTTTTCATTGGTTGCTGTTTACATCTGAAATCTCGAACCTCGGAGAATAAATACAAATTTCAGTTAACAAAAACAGAATTCCCCAAGTCACAGAGTCACAAAACACATATATGAAATGTGTATGTAATCTCAAACTTTACTTGCTCAACTGTGGCAACATATTGCAGTGATTATTTTCCTGCTTTTTTATTCAGTCTCATGGTGTATTGTTTGCAGACAAAAAATCATTTTACCAAGATTTGTTTATTGTATTATAAACCTAAACCTATAAACTTTCGTGTGGCTTTTGTCTTTTAGCCAATCGTGTTTAGCGTGACATGCCACAGAATTTCAGGTTTTTTTCACTTGGGTTTTCCGATGACAACACATTCTGTAGTCATGTGGTTTATCGAAAAGAGTCAGCGATTGGATTGTCCATGAATGGGTCTGTTGAAGCAGTCAGGCTATCCTGAAAACAGAGTTTGCGCGATAGTGGTGATGTGTGCAGTTCGTGTGTGCCATGCAGGTACATGTAGCATACAGCATGCATGCAACATACACAAGCAGTTCCAATGTGATGATTCGAACCAAGGCCTTGCGGCGGATTTTTCATTTTTGAAGTGATTAGGCAGTGTTTTTTGGTCGGCGTCACGAACCTCGAGATAACTGGGTGTAGTGTTGTGGACAGTTACAGAGGCGTTTTCTTTATATAAAAGCCTATTCTCTGGAAAAAAATTATTTGGCCGACAAGATAAAACGATCTTTTGACTTAACTGACTTTGAGTTACCAAGATTCATACGTACACGATCTGACCGCACAACTTGTTCCAGCTGCTGGAAAAAAAGGCAAGAGCCGATGCACGACCCACTCAAGACAATCGACAACCATCAAGCCCGCAAAAAGTATTTAATTTGAGGACTTAAACTTCTCTTTTTATGGTGACTCTCATTCACATTTTGCTTACTTTTATAAGGGTTTCACGTGAAGTCGATCCATTGACGCACATGTACTATACAGCATGTATTGGTGTTTCCGTACGCGGCACAATGACCTTTGTGGTTGGATCGTTAGGGCTGCAGTGCAGCTTATACGCCAGTGCGACTTTTACACCAATTTTTGCATGCTGCAGCTTATACACCGGGCAGCTTATATTCCGAATATTACAGCATAAACACTCTGTAGATATTCATTCTAGAGTCAGTGGAGTTATAATTTCATTATTCATAATAAAGTCTTCTCCTGTCTATAAATCTTTATAATTGCATTGATGTGTGTCGTTCCTGGATTTAGTGTTTGTTTCTACGGTTTTTAAGTCTTAAATGTACGGATAGCTCTGCAGAGATGTGTTCGGTGTATGTTGCAATGACCCAAAGACTTGTAACTTGCATGATTTTTTCACTAAAGTTTCCAGAAAGTTTTAAAAATTTAAAAAGTCATTGCAGGCATCTTGGTATTGGTTAGGTTAAAGAAACTTTTCTACATGTATGCAAGTTTAGAGGCCATTAACTTCAGGCAAACTTGAATTCTCAATTCTGATTGGTCGATCCATATGGCAACAAACAGTGTGATGAACAACTGTATTGCATGGTTCATATCAACCCTGCACAATGGGCTGCTCACACTCAATGCATTGCACTATTTTTACAATAAAACCAAAATGCAAAGCTGCAAAATTTACTTAAATTTCAAAGGTGGCACGTTTGCGGGAATAGGCCCCTGTAACATCGTAACTGCACATGGAGTTTGCTTGAAGATAAATAAGTTATCACACTCGTGCTCGTGAAACACAGAATAATGCAGTATCACACGAGTGGGGGTGGAACACAGAGTAGATGCTCTACATTGTTCTGTGTTCCACTGGCACTCATGTGATAACTAATATTGTATTTAACGTTACAGTACAAAATGGCCAAATTTTATCTCTTGCAGCTAGAACTAGCTTCAGTGAGCACGTTTTTGCAGTAGAGTACCGGTACATGTATGTGTAAAAGCCTTGCTCTAATAACTCTTCCAAAAGGCTACTGTAGCAGCCAAGTAAATGCCTCATCAATCATGCATGCATCGCAGCCAAAGCAGTTCTGGTTAAAAGTGCTATGCATCTTTTCTCTTGACTCACTTGAATAGTTCAAATTTTGAAGTCAATTTTAATTTGTTTAGTCTGTGCTTCTGAAGTAAGAGAACATAAAACCTTCCCTTTCTGCCAAACAGTTTTCCAGCAAACTCATCCACCTTTGTATATTCAGCCAAGCCCCTGTCGCACATGTCCTTGCGCAACTGCATACAGGTACTGGTACATGTACATTTTTGGACAAACAGTACATTCACACGTGCATCAGTCATGTTTGCGTACATTTTGGTCAGGTGTTCTTCCACCTGGCTGGGTACTGTACATGTACTTCTAATACTCTGGACTATACCATCCAGGGGCATTGACTTCCCCGTGAAACCACATTTCTGGAATTGATCCTGTCACTTTGAAATTGAGTCGTGCAAGCTTTTGACTCTAAACGGCCTGAAACTTATCCCCCAAAGTACATGTAGAGAAAAGACATCAAAGTAAAAGTGAATGTAAAATGGTTTCAAAGGTGAACTTCAAGGACTATTGCCAATGCACTTGAAATACATGATCTATGATTTATGTTTACAAAGTCAAAGGACTTTTTCACTCTTTTCATTGCCAGCTGACAACACTGCCAATTGCCCATGGAAAGGAAAGTGGACTTTGCCTGCTGTGAGCATTCACTTGACTGCACATTTGCCAGCCCATGCGGCCATGTTATTCTTTGCAAACGTTAGTAAAACCTTCATTGTGTCAAACCAGAGTGCAGCCTTGGGTCTGAGAACGTAAAGGATTTTCTTTTCACACGGCTGTCCTTTTTTTCTTCCTTTTTTTGGAAGCAGTACAAAGTTAGCACAAAACCCAAGCAGCTTGGAAAGTCTTGACAGTCATATTATAAACTCATTTCACGGTGATTCCACAAGGAATGAAAAAGTTGGAGGGCAGTCCTCTATTAAGCTTTGTACAAATGAGCTGGAGCATACATGTACAATCTGTTCTGCAAATGAATGGCTCTTGAAGTAGAGTGTACGTGTGCCAATAAATTAACGGGTGAGTGAGAACTTCAAGTAAAAGGTCAAAACCCATTTTAAAATGCAGTATTGTCCCTGACCACAGATTTGATCACTGAAATCTCAGTGGAGCTCACAAGTACATGTACGTGTACCCATCCACGATGGAGAGGTATGGCATAAAACACAGTAAAGGGGACCAGTATTAAAGTAACCATCATAGCAGTCTTTCCGTGATAATTTTACATTTCTGTCATGTCTTGAGCACTCCACGTCCCGTTTTTCAAGTCCATTAATGAGTATAGGCTTAACTGGATTGAGACCAGAGTGTAATAACTGTTTTGAAATACAAATCAATGTCCAGTTTAATGTTAAAAGTTAACAGGTGAACTTTTGTGCCATCCATTTTTGACTGCAAAAGGGAATAACAAGTTTGTAAGGATAAGAAGTGGTAGACTGTTTCATTCAACACATGGCTCGTAATCACCAGTGTAAAATGTAGTGAGGTGTTGAAACTCTTCCAGAAATTATAGCCAGTGCCGTGTGCCAAGCTGAAATTTTTCTTCCTTGCTGATAATGGGGGTGCATATGTGGTCGGAGCAGATAATCTGTCTGTTCCTGAGAGAAGCCACCACCGTATCCGGCTCCGCTCTCCTGAAATGATGAAACAGACATAAAAGTAACAGAAAAAGTGAGTTGAACTAGTGTGTATACGGTGTCGAGTGGAAGAAAACAGCATCTTTTTCCCCCAAGTCATACCACGGCAATTTCTGGAAAGTTTCGTGGTGTCGTATGTGCATGTGCAAAAGTCCTAGATTTCTTGAAACTCAAACCTAAAAGTGGGATTTCCCAATAACTTCACAAGTCACGTTGTCATTTTTCCTGACAGGATGTAAGGATGTAGTTGGAAAGATGCATTCACCAATCATCCCGTCAATCTTTTTAAAAGCAAAAACCTCAGCATCCCCGCATGCAAACGGGAACCAGTCAAGTGACGTTCTATTCAATGGGTACCATTGAATAGAATGAATAATTTAATGATCTGATCAACTTTCAGATGATGGGGATTTGTACAGGTACGTGTATTTCATAAAAGCCCAATCCTGCAGGGCCATCCTCCATACTCACAGGTGGTACATGCGCACTGCATTTCTATCAGACCAGTAGGGTGCTGTGACTTGACAAAAATTCGTGCACATGCCCAAGTTGCCCCAGCGGGAATGTTGTCTCCACGGATTTGCCTATATGGTCCCACTGTCAGAACATTAGCGTTACTTGCAGTATGTTTAAATTACGCATCATTTACCCAGTCTCTGGTGTATTTGTGGCATGGCACAACCAGGGTACAGATACACACATGCAGTTCCAAATGACCTGTTGAATTTACCTGAAACGTGTCTATAGGTACATGTACATGTAGTGAGCTTGTAGAGAATAGCCTGCAAGGAAAGCCCTCACTGTATGGCAAAACACAAGCACCACAAAGGGACAGAATCACAAAGCCAGCACTCAAAACCGTAGAGAGGAAAGAAGAGAAAAACAAATTGATCAAGGGGAGCAGAGGAAAACAAAATTTGCTATATATACTCAGTGTTTCTGTTTATTCAACGGTCCGGAGTCTAGGGGTCGCCATATTCTTGTGCAAACATCCATGCTGGCATAAATTTGATCGTGTATACTTATGTAGGAGAAGTTTGATTTACTGGGTGTCAATAGCGAAATACTGCTCTTGTGTATTTATAATACTTAGACCAAACATGTACATGTAGTTTGCTTGGATGTTTGGAATTTTGAGTTGGCTATTAAATTGAGACTACATCATGCACAACAGTCCATTGAGAATGACAGTCTTCGGAAACTTTAAAAGTCACCACATTCTATGTGTAAACAAATGGATTTAAAATGTTGATGCGTTGCCCCCCCCATTCACAAGAAGAAAAGTGACATGATTTTTTTTTTGGCCGATTCATTGATTAAAGCAAGGTGGTCCTCAAAGATGTAAAATAGAACTTGGCTTATTCCAACCTGCGTGCATTGACAGAAGTGGCTCTTACGAAGAGAAAATGTGCTTCACTTCTTGATTGAAGTAAATTACTGCCTTTCCTCTTGGCTCTCCCCCCCCCTTCATCCTCATCCGTTTTTTGGGCGGTTGGGTGCCCAACATCCACCAAATGTGTGTTCCTGTCTATGGGAAATCCTTGAAGTATGCCAAACCAGGGAGTACCCAAGACTGAAAGGGGGGGGGTGTTAACCCCAGCTCTGACAGCCCGTTGACGTATACTGGACAGATACTTCCTGATCTGGTGGGAAAAATATCTGCTACATCATACAGGAATTTATGCAAGGGGGAAGTCTCCGTGGCCATCTGATGTATTCGGCCCAATTTGTTTTGCGCAAGTCTGCAGTGGGTCTGGTGGCTCTTGTAGCATTCAAAATTTCCCAGGCTTCAAGAAAAAGCTGGTGCTCATGTGGTTTTTACATGTACCTCCTGTGGCGTCTGGTTGAGAATTTCTCTCCTACTCAGCTTTACTTACAATCCTGCAGTGCAAAGACTGGGCTCGGTCCAACCTACATGTACATGTACTGTATGTGGCGGTAATGTATACATGTACATGTGTCCATGAGCAAGATATTTCGACCATGTTGTTCGACCATGTTGTTCGACCATGTTGTTCGACCATGTTGTTCGACCATGTTGTTCGACCATGTTGTTCGACCATGTTGTTCGACCATGTTGTTCGACCATGTTGTTCGACCATGGAGGAAGACAAGTAAAATTCTCACCTGTAGAAAGGTTTCATAATGGCTTATTCAAGACAATTAAAATAAGGCAGTGGGTCAGTTTTCATTGAAAAGTATTGCATACTTATGACGTAATTAATTAAAGTTAAAACATCGTAGGCCTATCTTTTTATCTGCCTTCACATTCTTGGTTTAAATGTTAAACAGCAGGCCAGTCTCAACATTTGTGAAAGTTCCTAGTTTACCGAGATGCAATGAAAAGTAGTTTTTACTTTAGTCCTTTTTTCAAGCTTACTGATAACAAATTGAAACTAATCCCAAATCCTTCAATTTTATCATAAATATGCCTTCAAGTAGAAAATACGAGAAACAAATGTAAATTTTTGGAGAAAATACAAGACTGTAGTACAAAATATCATTTGCCTCTGATTCAGATGCTATTTGAATTTTTTAACCGTAGGATTTAGTCATATGAGAGAAATTTCACTCAATCCCCAGGTGATTAATTAAGGACTATGAAAGTAATAATTTGTGACTTTACAAACTTATCTCCTACCTGCTCCTGTATACTCCCGAGAGAGCTGAGATGGTATTTGGAATGTTTCATGGGCCGAGTGAGCAGGGGTAGCAATAATGGAATTGCGCCTTGATCGGTTTTCCCGGATAAGTGCACTTTATTAATCTATATCACTATTAATTGGACATCGTGGTGTAAATATGCCAAAACATTGTATCTCAACAAGTTCCAAAGTTTTGACCAGAATAAGCACAGCGTGTCATTCACATGAAAGAGTCATTCGTTGATCTTGTTCCTTTCAAAGATCATTCATATAAGTGTCCGACCAATCAGAATGTGGCATGAGCTCAGCCTTTGCCCAAGCGTATCTCCCCCAAGAGGTAAAGGCTCTGAACAGCACAACTTGCAGCCTAGGAATTTTCAACATCTGTGGTCAGCTTCACAGAGACGTTCCTCAGGGACCCTGTCAAAGCTCGACATGATTCTTCTTCCTTCCTTGCAAATTGGTTTAATAATTCCCAAACCTTCTCTGCGCATGCATGCGCATAGTTTGAGGATTTTTTTTCTTTTTGCCAGCGAAGGAGTCTGTGATTGAAAGGTACGTGTACGCGTAAATTGTCGCTTGTTTTTCTGTTGTCTGCCAGTGCACAGCTTTAAAGGCCAGACGAGGGAGGGGGCAAACATCATAGAAGGAACTGGAGAAAGAGGGAAATTCTTACTCCACTTCTGGTTGCAAACACCCTGTGTGATTTGTGTGTGCCAGTGCATAAATTAATTCCAATAGCAGACAGTTTCATAGTGTACATGTACTGAGCGCATTGAAGTTTTACAGGCCAATACCTCTGGTACACAAATTCAAGTAAGGGTATTATTTTTTTTTTTTACGTGTTTGTTCAGTCGTTCATTTGGAGTAGGCAGTGTTTGGATGCTGTTGAGGATGTAACAACTTGTTGCCAGGGTATGTCCCACATTAGACTTGCAAATCATGATACATGTATTTTCATCTGTTTGGGGGATGGGACAGACTGGCAGAGATTACAGTGGTTTTTGTGTAAGTGGGAGAGAGTGTTTACAGGTATTCTAGAGCTTGTTCACCTGTCTGGTGGACCATGTGTCTATTCAGTACATGTACATGTATGTGCCGAACCGTAAATCTGCAAGTATTCATACATGTACCGTATATTCATACCTTTCACAAGAAATGATGCCTTGAAAGACTTCTTTTCAAACTGTCTGCAAATGTGCAAGTTTTTGTTAAAAGTTTGGTTTTGCATTGATCATTGAGTATCTTAATTACTGCATGAGGCTTTACTTGCAGTGTTGAAATTGTAACAACCTATGGACAACTCCACATCAACTGTGACTTGACTGCCAAAGTTTCAAATTGATTTTTACAATGTTGTCTCCACCATTGTTGGTTAGGGGTACACCTCAATTGAGTGAATCTGAGGGGATATCATGACGATACCATATGAAACATTATAATTAATAAAACCATTCTTAACATTTGTTTTCTTTATATTTATATATAGGTGCGTGAGATTTTTATGTCGCCCGTAACGTGAGATGTACATGTAATGTCCATAACAACATTAATTAACAAAATTGGACTATACAGGACACTTTTTTTTCTAACTTTCAATTCATGCCTGGATAGAATGACTCAGACCAACTGCAACATAGTTTGTATAGAAAGCTAAGGGAAGCAACTTCATGGAGTTTTGATTAAATGTACTGAAGGTCAAAAATCCATGTCATAATGCAGAACGTCCGTAACATTCATTTCTCACACTTGTGGCTAATTAACCAACAAAGTTTCTCTAACATTTTTAATGAATAGGCTACAAGTATAAAAGCAGATAAACTTGGTTTTATTTTTTCACCATGAATTTGTTTATCAATTGAAACTTGGAAGTTGTATACAAACGTCATGTCGGTAACGATGGAATTGCCCCTATATGTTCAAACCTATACTGTGAAGCTGATAAGACATTCATGTACATGTATGTACCAGTAGCATGTTTGATTTTTGAAACCCCAGATTGCTTATTCCAGCCTGATGCCTGCTGATGTGTATGCGCATTGATGGCATCATTCGGTAGATTTTTGTCCTTAGAAGGTCAATGGCCAGAAATGCCTTGTTAAATTCAACCATCTCATTTTTTTCTCCTGAATCATGCCCCAGTCTTGGCTTATCGCTGCCAACTCTGGGCAGGATCTGCCCTTAGTTTGGACTTCACAAACCGTAAAATGCACCCAACTCAAAGCATCTGTGTTTGTCCAAAGAATTTGGAAGTCGTTCATCCTTGTACATACATAAAAGGCATCCTGTGACTAATGCTCATGCGGGGCCTTCCCAACCCCCCTCCCTTGGAAAAGATACTTTCTGAGTCTTAGAATTGCAGCGTTTGCATCAAGTTTACTTGGTGACATGTTTAAGCTAATGTTCCAGTCAAACATGTCAAATGTTGTGTGTTTAAACCATCAAGGGAATGGTACAGGCTTGCACTCTGATTGATGACAGAAATGTGGACCATTCCATTTTGAACTGCTGGGGGGAGGGTGGATGGAGCTCCCGTAATGAATTTGTTACCTTCTCCTCCGGCCCATGAAACTCAATTTAAGTGGATATCCCCTCCCCTGGGAAGGGAAAGGCAGTTGCAAACTGCTAAATGATGGCTCTCACATTTTCAGTGGCCAATACTGCCCTCGATGGAGAGAGCGAAGGGGGGGGGATTGGTGAGGAGGGGAAGTGCCGGGGGAAGGAGGTTGTCAGATCGTGACAAAGTTGCCATGGATCAATCTCTGCCATGCTCGACTAATAAGTCCTTTCCAGCATTGCATCGGCAAAAATCATATTTCAGGGCTGCGGTGACAGCAGCAGTAATTTTGCCCTCTCATTAATCACTCTGTCTCTCACTTACAATTTTGTTTTAAAAAATACAGAATGACATTTCAGTTTCAATGAAGTGATTAGATTGGAAAATTAAAATGTGGGGGTAGTGATTTGCATGCAGTCCATTAAAAGGAAGATTTTTAATGGGTTTTAGTTTTGCTTTTAGAGAAAAATGTCGTAGCATATAGCGGTAGCTTGAAAATTTGAAAGGAACTCATTTGTACATGTGCATGTACTTGTGCCAAAAGTAAAGAAACACTTTCCGAATACTGCAACATTTACGTGACTGTGGTTGAATCCAGGGACAATTATAATACTTCTGCTCCTACCCCCACCATTGGCTTTTTTGGCAGTGCTTCTATGGAGTCTCTCCACTGGACCACTGGATTTTTTGATGTGGAGGCCAATTAGCTATTGAAAGGTACTCTCCCCAAACACACCAGCAGGACTTCTGCCATCTTCACCATGTCTTTGCATTATTTAGTTTTCTTCGTTCATGGAGGACCCTTTCAAATTCATTATCATGTACATGTAATACAAGTAAAGTTATGGTGAAATTTTGCCATCGGCATTCAGACCACAAGTAAAGCACTCTTGGCAATTGTGAAGGATGTGAATTGTAGAAAATGATCAGGACTGCATTTCTGTGTTCAGTATACACACGTACATGTAAGTCATGTCACTGTTTGTTCCTGTACATTAACAATTATCAATGTGCCCACGTTACACTGTGCAGACCCAGAAATCCCTGGGTCAGCCAGGTAGTGAACTGGGTTTTGAGGTTGTTGACCCCTGCGGTTTAAGGTCACTCTCACTTGATTAGAGCTAAATTGGGATCAAGGAAGTGTGGAGTGATTGTGGGACATTGCCAGCTGGAAGGACGACTGTCTGTCCTGCACTCTGGGCATAGAAATCCCATTCTGTCTGGGTGCCAATTGCAGGAGCTTCTGGGTGCTGTACATGCAGCGGCATGCTAGTGAGTTCCTGGTAGGTGGCACGGTTGGTGAAAAATGCAGGATGAAACAACTTAACTTTACAGACGTCAAATTCCTTGTATCCACATTCTTAGTCATTTTTTGTACATGTACATGGACATGTATGCACATAACGCATAATATTCTGTATATACTGTACTTGAAGCACCTCTGCATTCATTCCGTTATCAGTACATGCATTTTAGTGTTTTGTCAGTATGAGTACAGTACAGTGCCGTACCAAGAAGATACCCGTCAAACCAAATTTTCCTTACCAGTGCATTGTGGGAAACAGTTGACACCCACGCACCAACAACAGGGTATTAGTGGATAAGCCTAGCTTCAAGCAGGATTCTTTTGAAGTCTGAATAGTGATGAGTTGATAAGACTTCTATATTCATTCAGCCTACAGGCAAGACACTGCAATAAAGATTACACTTCATCGGACAGTGGTTGAGTGATATGCTATGTACAGTAACTATTCAAAATTCATTTTTTTCTCAATAGTTTCCTCCCTGTCATTAACATCATCCTCAGGTTGGGTCCTTTTGTTCCTTTTGACAACACTTTCTGGTATGTGTCTCTTCTCCAGGAGTTTAGTCCTGTGAAGATAACAGCGATACCATAAGTGGAGGTCCAGTCCAGTGTATCCCAGATACAGCACTCGTACCACCAGGGAGTTTGAATGAGAAAGATAAGACGCACTCGCAAGGCCAACAATGGGTAAGTTGTTGTTTTACAGTTATGGTATGAACGTGATATGATGCTGGGCTTCCATTTCACCGGGTCAGGAGGGGGCATTTTGTGCAAGTGCAGCCTCTAGGTGCCACTGTGGACCAAGGTTTGGGCCGACTCAACATTTTTCAACTTGATTCTGATTCTGATTCTGTCAGAATTCTGTAAAAAAGTGACTTCAGATTCCTCCTGAAGAAAGTGGAAAACCCTTGATAAAATTCACTGACAGAGTTGTGGTTGACTGAGTTCTTTTTACCTCTAATTATTGATATGTTCATTGCAAACATAAACAGTATTGACGGGTGATGGCAAATGAAGTTAATTTTTGAAGAAACATGAACTTGAGATTTTGTGATTTTCTCTTTATTTCTTTCTACTGGTAGCTATTTCTTTCAAGTTATTTCAACTCTTCAAAGAGTAAGCTTGATTTGGATAGATAAAAAATTTTAAAGTAAACTTTGTTGAAGTAAAGTACATTCAAAACCCTTCTGTTCCATAGGTTTGTGCAAAATCCTGGTTTTCCCACACCAAGTTCCCATTGGATTTTTTCTTCTGTGTAGTATTGACTGCAGCTCCTGTAAACATTCCATTTTGTAAATCTGTCTGGGCCCATTTGGACTTTTTTTGGGTATCAACTGAATTGTTAATTCCCCATGCATGGTTTGTCAAATATAGCACATTCCTAGTATCCAATGTGCCACTTGAGTGGTTACATTGTACAGTTGAAATGTCAACTGCTCCTGTGCTACCAAGCCTCTGCCTCTGCCCCGCTGATGTTTCTTACAGTTTGGGTAAAATTAGCCATTATATCCACGATGCAAAAGAAAAAAAAACACAACACTGTCTCGGTGGAAAGGTGTATCCGTAGGCAGTGTCATGGAAAAAATTGCAACACACAAAAGGGTAGGCCTATCTGGGAACCATGCTTCACATGTATGAGGAATTTTTCTACACACTTGTTGAGGTTTTACAGCCCAGAGCTGTTCCATTGGATTAATTTAGTGGCTCTGTAAAACTACTGTGGCTCTGTTTAAAATTTCCTTCCCTACTTTCAGCCTGTTATTAAGTCACTGTGAGTATAATGGGAACGGAATGAGAATGTTGTTTCTCCAGTGGTTCAGATTGGACTTCATGTAGTCTCCAGCACCTAATGCAGCAAGCTGTTGTAGGGTCATTGCAGATCTCAGGCCTTGGGACAAGGAAGCAAGTGGGATTATTTGACTAGTATGAAAACAGGCAAAGACTTGACGCATGTTTCCATTGGACTTTTTCTTCCGCGCTTACAGAAACTTACCACAACATTCCTTCGTGTCAATCTGCCGCACATTCCCACATGGACTTTTTTACCATAGCAGAAGGTCTTATTTAGGTGTAACACAGCAAATAAACATGATTACATTGCCTGTGCTGTACAAATGATGGCGAAATCGGCAAAATCTGACCAAAAAATGACAAAATCTGACAAATCTGTACAGAAAAAGCCCCATACACAGTGTGCATATAGCTTTATCCGGGCACACTTCACTGTGTGTGCGCGGCATGCTACTGTACTATAGCCTACGCACGGAGCTGGAGACTGGGAACCATGCAACCATTTTCGCGTGCCCACAATGGATCTCTGTGTAGGCAGCAGTCAGATTCGTAGGTTTAGCATGGTCGGGGTCAATCTACATTGTATGGGAACTGTTCCAATTGGAGTTTTTTGCGCCCCTGCTAATTTACCGTGGCTGCGCAGAAATCTTCTGCGACCCTTTTGGCCCGTTAGTTTTACATTACAATCGCGGTAAGTTGAAAGGGACATTAGTTTACCGTGTGTTCCCATTGGATTTAATGTTGTAGTTCTACAGTAAAGTCACGGTAAGTTAACCAAAAAAGGTCCAATGAGAACGCGGCTTTGGCCATTCATGATGCACTATATGTGTAAGGAAGGAATGCAACTACTGCACAATGTAGATCATTGTTGAACCGTGCGTCTTAATATTAACATGCTTAGAGCTGTAGAAAATTCTTAGGTGAGCCATACAGAATTCGAAAGATTAAGAGACTCGGTACTCTGAATTTCCTGTTTAGTGCCCCCGAACTGTGTTGGCTACCAGCTTCACCGAGCTCAGACAATGGCGCCCTCAGGCACCCAGACTTGTGGAGTGCTAATCAGCTGTACTAGTGTGGTGGACATGTGGCAATTAAGACCCTGCAAATGTGTTTTTTTGTTTACTGCTCATGTGAAAGATTTTGAAGTGTCTGAGTCGCTCTGCTGCAGTGGGTTCCAGCATCCAATTGCTGCCAAAAACATTCACATTTGTGAGAGCAGTGATGGGATACCAGTTCTGGGCTTGGTGTGATCAAGACATGCGCATGAAGTCCGTCCATGTACTGGTACATGTCACCCACACCAGCTGGCAGAACTGGGAGGAAGGGCAGGGGGGGCCATGTGCACTGTTTTGTGTGCTGTTGTCTCACAACTGCAGGTTTTCTTCCATCTCATTGTGTCATTGCAAATCACTGATGAGTTATTTGAGGTGGGTCTTCACGAGCAGTGCCCTCAGAGACTATTCGGAGGTGCTCTTTGGCAAACGAAAATCATTCAACAGACAGAGCATTTTAACCAGTGCGTCCAGTGATGTTCTGCATGGCTTATTGGTCATTGGACATGTACTTGGTGGCAGTGTAATTTACATCAGGTTTTGCATCAGTAGCAACAACATGAGCAGTAACACCAATAACAGTTTCAAGAGCAGTTAATACCAAAGATTGTATAGCACCACATAGCGGTGCAGCATGGAGAACTTGGCCAAAAAGGTGTTTTCACCATGGGCGCCATTCTAGTGTGAACATTAATTCATAAGCGCACGCATACCAGGTGTGCGTGCCTGTCACTGTGCCTGTTGCATTAACATAGGCCTATTCACACCCATGGCACCCATGTGATAACAACATTTTACGCATATTCACAGTTAATTTCTCCATCTTGTGCCGCTGTGCGGTGCTATATAATCTTTGGTTGTAACTGCAGCTTGTTTGCAACAGCAGCAATGGTAACAGCAGAACTACCAACAGCTGCAGTAGAATGGCCAACAGTACATGTACATGTACATACAGTGTATGCAGCAGCATGAACGACAGCACCAGACCCAACAGCAGCGGTGGCACAGCTGCTTACTGTACGGGATTCAGATAGCAAAAGACAGCTGCAGCAGCAGCTCCCTGCACGTTTAATAGCTGCAGCAATGATGCACAATGTTAAGTTTCGCAACAAAATGTTCCTGCAACAAAGTTGCACAAGAAACAATCGCGTAGGAAATTGCTCCATCTTGTTTTCACAGCTACAATCAGGTCAGCCCGGGTGACCTCCCCGCAGGAGCAAACACGGGCGCACACATGAAACACACGCTTCACTTCGTCGTCGCTTTTCTGAATAACATCCCCGAAATTATGCACCGTGTCCTGTTGCCGGTCGCCAGGTGCTGTGCCCTTTTCTTTACCCTCAATGGCCCCCCCTCCCCTTAACTCCCTGACCAGGTCCTGTCACTTCCCCCACTTGATTAACGAGGGGCATCCTTGGGACTGTCATCCCATGGCTGTTTTTGTGGCCCACCTTGCCACCTCCAGGAAGTCAGAGGGGCTCGGGGACACACGCAAGCCCCCCAGATTTGTTTGTGAGGATCTCCCCCCATTTGTCTGCAGCAACAAACATTCGTGCAAGTAAAGATAATATTATTTTGGAAACTGACATTCTGTAGTGGGTCAAATCCTACTTTGCAAACATACTACCTATTCTTTCTACCTCGTTAACTGCATGTGATTGTCGCGCATTGCTCTTCGACTTTGAAATCTTCAGTTTGAAATCTTTAGATTATACTGGCACACCACGATGAGAGTCTGTCTGTTGTGACCACTCATTTCCTGTTTGGACACTTATACCATACCGGTACATACCAGTAATAGGCACAAAGCCTGGCATTTGGGGACCGGATCCCAGAAAATGAGTCTCAACGCCATTTTTTTACTTTCACTGTTTTTATGGCAAACACTTCGCATTAGAAAGGGTAAATGGAGGTACATGTATTTTTTGTGATGAACATGTGTTTGCTCAAATTAACATCCTGATAAATGTGGACATGGGTGATAGATGTTGAAACATACATGCACATGTGAATCTACCGGTACTTATGCAAGATTTTTTATAAAGGCCCAGAAACTTTGGCAACCAACGACTTGTTTCATCGGGCTGGGCCACATTTGCGAAGTACTCGTACGTCCTTATTTGATTACGATCTAACATGTAGTGGTACAATGCTGGAATGTTGATCAGGGGTCAAATAAGAACTTGCATGCATGCAAAGTGGTTGCCCTTAATCAGGTCATGCCCTCGTCTTTATGATGAACATCTGTGCTCTGCCACAGCTGCACAGACAAAGAACAAACCTTGTCTAATTATAGAAATGACACGCGCAAATGGTGATGTACCTGTATGTTGTCTGTACATGTACCTGATTGTTAATGGTGCAAAGACATCCTCATGTAAAAGTGGTTGTCCTTCCATAAGATCACCTAAACCTGGCAAAAATTGACCTTTTTTTGTTCACATGGACATCCATTAAAAAAAACCCCACATATATAAAAATTGCTTAGTATATGAACAGCATCACTATAATTGATTCTTAATTGGTTTTAAAATATTTAGAGGGAACTTAGGAATCTAAGCTTTGGCAAAAGCCTTCCTTTTCAGCCCTGTTCCCAAGGGCCTGATTGTCCCTGTCACTTGCTGCCAAATTGCCCCTGATCTTTCTCCAAGCCAGGGGAAAACTCTCTCCATCTTTATCATGGAGCAGAAAGAATCAATTTGTCAACCTTAGTTTGTCCATATGGCTTGAATTGGGCCCAACAGGCTGCCTGAATTACTCTGGGGAGCCTCTTGGGACCATTTGCCTGGTCTGCGGCTATCAATCATGGACTTCTTGTGTCCTAAATGAACCTGTTTTTATTTT